TCTTTCTTTCTTTCTTTCTTTCTTTCTTTCTTTCTTTCTTTCTTTCTTTCTTTCTTTCTTTCTTTCTTTCTTTTTCTTTTTCTTTTTCTTTTTCTTCCTTCCCCCCCTCCATCCTTTCCTTCCCACCTATCTTTCACATTTTGGAACTGCTCAACTCTCTTACAGAGGGAGGATAACAAGTTTTGGGAGGATAGGACCACATTTTTTTCCTGTTCACACCTTGGATTTTACTGGTTGCACTTGCAGAGAATAAGTCAAAGGGTAGGGTTTCTACAGCATTGGCCAGATTGCCTCTTTAGTTAAACAAGAAATAGCCAATTCCTCCACCAACACAAGCTGGGTAAAAGATAAAGGGAAGAAGAGCTTCCTGCTATAGCAGAACATATACTCTTTTCATTTTTACTTTGTTCTGTTTTGTGAGCCCAGAGCTCTTTTTAAAATCTCAGAAAAATCAGAGTGACAGATGCATCATTGAGCGCATATGGAGAGAGAGTCACGTGGAGAAACAAATCATGTTTTCATTGATTGTATCAACTGGCTTTCAAAAGCTCAGGTAAACACCAACCTAAGCAGACTACAGAAGAAAACTCCTTTGGTTAAAGGCAAACAGCTTGAGAAAGCTTTCTTTTCCTTTTTCAGCTGGGAAATAATCTGGAACAGCGGTGGAAGCTTTCATGCTGCCTCTCTCTCCACCTTCCCTGTCTTATAGTATTTACAACAACTTTTAGTTGTTGATGATTTAGACATACGTAGATATCTGGGAGGTTGGAAAGCATACTTTTCTTTGTATTTCATCAACATGTTGGCCTTTACTGAGCCTCAGAGGCTGCCTTACCTGATATTTAGACTTTAGGTCAGGGGTCTCCAAACCCGGCCACTTTAAGACTTGTGGACTTCAACTCCCAGAATCACTTAGATATTTTAAGTGGATCAAATGGTATATTATAATAACTGAGAAGCAAAAACTATGTTCATTCCCCTAGCACGATCGTGTGTATAGAACACTTTAATGTGTCTTGAATATTTTTTGGCTAAAATCAAGTGTAGTACCAAGTGTATCATGGATGCTTGACTCAATTTTTTATAGTTTAATTTTCTTCATTAAATGTTGGAGCCTAATTAGGTTCCTTCTATTTCATGTTTTGTAATGGTGGATGTTATCTTGTACATTACTTGCTACGATTCATTGCTTTGATTTTGGGAGAGTTGTTTAGTTTTGCTGGCTTGATTAATTTCTGCTTTCATTTCTTTCTGATTGAAACTCAGTATATCTTTGGTTGGTTCAGAAAGTACACCAATATTTTGGAAATAGTAAGCTGTGAGAGACAAGAGAGCAACATTTGGGGGTGAGGTAGGGATCCCTATTTTGTACTCTTTGGAGGTTTTGAATTTCAATGACCAAAATCTTCAACCAATATACAAATGGCCATTTTGCAGGCGCTGGTTTGGCAAAAGCTGATCTGTTGATATAATACATACTTGTACACATGCACGTGCACACGCAAACACGCAACACAGAGCTATAGAAACAGAATCATTATGGCGTATGCCAGGATAAATTATTAGATCATGGCATATATCATAATTATCTAACTACTTTAGTAAAAAAATATTGCATATTGCAGAATGTAAATATCTTTCAAAGGTCTGATATTCTTTTCCTACCTGTCTCTATAGGCAATAACTAAAGTGATTTATTTGAACATGCCTTATGTGTGGTTTGAAGAAATCTATAAATCAAACTGCTAGCAGAGGGCTTTTTTCATACCTCCTATATCCAGAGTATTCAGATGTGCTATTACCCTTAGCAGTAGCTTCTATGGGCAATAACAATAGCAACACATCTCCTTAGCTTTCACTTCAACTAAAATCTGCATCTACTGAACAACTAAAACAAAACCAAAATCTCCTTTTGAATTGATCCCTTCTAACTATCTGAATGCAAGCTTAATGTGTGTGCCCTAGAAGAGAGGATAAAATATCATCAAGCGCTATAAACATCACAATTCTTTAACAAGACAAAACCTATTTAGATTTTGGGCCTGAAGCTGTCTGGAATAGAATTTCTCAATTTTATCACCCATTTTGCACATGTGTTTATTTCCCTAGTAGCATTCACTCTACTAAAACGATTAGTGTCCCTAAGGTGATTACAGGGAAATTGCTGGAATGTCCACCACAGCAATAAATACTCACTGTTTACGGTACCTGCTAGTGCATTAATATTATTCAATCCAACCGTTGCTCCAGCTAGTCCTTGTAGAGTCCCCAGAGAAGTCAAAGAATTCATTGCTGCCCCAGCTGTGGAATTTGCTGTTGATGCAGCCACTAGAATAAAAGAAATAAAAATAAAATAAAATTATTCACTCCTAGAATACCATAAACCAGGGGTGTCCAACCTTGGTAACTTTAAGACTTGTAGACTTCAACTCCCAGAATTCCTCAGCCAGCATGTCAGCTTGATTGGCTGGGTTGGACATCCCTGTCATAAACATTATGGAAAGCTAGTGAGTCCTTTGGCCCTAAACTCATGACATGTCATAATAATAATTACATGAGAAAAAACTTTAAAGTATGGTTTCTCTCATTTTATCCATACAGTTGAATGTCCATTGCTTAAAGTACATATTCTGCTCAAAAGTTTAATAAGAGATAGAAAACCAGAGTCCTACATTACGGTTTGATTCATGTGCTGAACTCAGATTTAGTAGCACTTGTTTGTTTACAGTCTAGTCTGATTTGTAGCTTTTCTTGTTTATTCAACGAATTGTGGTTGGAAATTCTGGTTTGGAATTATTTCGATCTCTCCATTTCAGCTACATGCATATATAAAAATGGTATGCTATGAATAAAGCATAAACCATTGTAGGATATATGTTTCAGAGGAGATTGTTTTGATATGGAAATAGCAAATGCTACATTCATCAGTTCTCAGATTATCTGGTTTATGAAAACCTATTTGATACTGAAGGAAAAATTACAAATTGCCTTCCAGAGTTTCCACCTACAGCAAATGAAATGGATACTATAACTTGGTGTTTCTGAATTGAATAAACTCACACAAAACCTTAATAAAGAGCTGGTAGTTGTTCCTCGTTTTGGGGAAATTACATGAACTGACATTGTTACACTGTTAGGCGGCTTTTCTTGATGTTCCGTGGCTGTTTAGTTTAATTGTTAGAAAAGGTGAAATATCTAACATTCATGTATCCAGGGGCTTTGCTTTCAGGAATTATAACTTGACTGTACTTTGTCTTAGTAAAAGCAAATTGATCATTCCTCTCTGTTGTGCTGGGAATATTATCCTTGTGTTATCAGTCTGAACATCAATAGTCAAGAAGAATAGCATTCAGAAAGCTAGTTAGTATTGAAGGGATAAGTGAATAATACCTATATGATTTGTGAACTTTAAAGACTACAGCTGCAAGCTAAAAACTAGATAGATTCCCCTCCCTCCCTCCAGTCTTAGTCTTTGGTACACAGAGATTCGGAGTTAGATCTATAAGTCCATGACCAGACTTCAAAGCTCTTCAAAACCTTGTTGGCCCACCAGTGATTAAAAATAACAAGATCCTGCTTTTGAAAGGTGATTTACTGCCCTTGAGGCTCACTACAGATTCAAAGGGGGGGGGAGGAAAGGGGGGAACTCTGGAGAGATGTAAATAGGATTAAGCCCCTTCCCTGAAGCCACAACCTCACTCCAGTCCTGTAAAAATAAGTATCTACAAGACTGGGAGTCAGATCATATTCCAGGCTGTTGTGTATCAGCTTGGAAGGAATAAGGATAAGATGCCTTTTTTGTGACTGCTAGATATCTGTGACAGCTTCCTAATCATTCAAATAAAAATAGAGAAGGAAAAAGAGGTATAAAAAGGCTATCTAATCACTCGGCCGTATCTGATGGAATGGCTAACAGAATGAGAATCATCTACCACAACAGAATAACAAAGTTAGAAAGGGACCTTGAAGATCTTCTAGTCTAACCTTCTGGTCAAGCAGGAAACCCTGTATCATTTCAGACAAATGGTTGTCAAATCTCTTCTTAAAAACCTTCAGTGTTGGAGTACCTGAAACTTCTGGAGGAAAATCGTTTCGCTGATTAACTGTTTTAACTGTCAGGAAATTTCTCTCTAGTTCTAGGTTGCTTCTAGCTCTAGGTTGCTTCTAGTTTTAGGTTGCTTCTAGTTCTAGATTGCTGAATAGTTTCCATCCATTGCTTCTTGTTCTGCCTTGAGATACTTTGAGACCCCCCCTCTTCTTTACGGCAGTCCCTTAGATATTGGAAGACTGCTATAATTTTGATTAGTTGGCTTTTCGCCACCTGATAAAAATTAATTCAGCCTGTCAATTTGCACATTAAGGGAGAAGGTGTTTTCTTCACCTACATTTAGCTGGGTCATTGACATAACGTAAAGAAAGTGTTACTCACCTGATCAGGCAGACTCCATCCAATTCTAGGCTAATATACTCTAAATAACTAATGGTTCTATTCCATGATTGAGACTTTTTAAGCACTAAGCTAATTAGTATTTGATGGATTAGATCTCCAGGCCCACCTAACTGCATGGAGTTCTATTCCTGGAAACCCACCAATTGAATGAACCATGAGGCCTGACTGGTGACTGCAACGCGCCACTTAATATTAAAACTCCTTCAGGTGAGCAGTTTTATTAAGCCTTAAATTAATTCTGACTGCTCAGGACTCACAGCCTGCTCCTGGTCACTGGCCTCTTGTAAGACTGAGGAGTACATAGTAGCAGAACCACCCTTTTGTGCTGCCAAGCTGAAAGCAGGACTTGATAACTCCATGATTAAAAATGATTGAACCAAACTGGTCATATACTGTAGCTGTGAAGTGAATTTGACGTGTAATGGGTGCCAACAACTGTCTTTCAGGGCTAGGTGTCCATACAAGCACACACAAAAAAGGAAAAAAAATCACGTTGATGTGAAATTGGCATGAAATTGACAAAATTGAAGATTAAACACAAGCCAGAGACCTTCTTATTGGGAATACCAGAACTGTCACGGGGTAAAAAACAACAGCATCTAATACTACACATCATCACAGAAGCAAGAATAGCCTTTGCCCAAAATTGGAAATTAACAATGGTACCCACAGATTTAGCAGTAATCAACAAAATTTACCAATGCACAGAAATGATTAGTTTAACTATGATATTAAAAAAACAAGGAAGAGGGAGAATTTTTTACAATATGGAATACATGGTACAAATGGTTAAATGAAAAGGAAATAAAGATGTATAGTGAAAATGATTAAAGAAATATTATGGAACAACAGAAATAAGGATAAATGTATAGCTATGAATATATGTATAGTACAGCTATGTATATAGGTGTAGTAGTGTAGTAACATAGGAAAACAAGCAATGTATCAAGACGTATTAATAACATAGAAAAGTAAGAAATCAGGAATCAGATTTAAGATATCTTTGTAAGTGAATGATCTTAATTAACACTAATAGAGATGTACACTGTTATGGAAACACTGTAAAATGTGAGGACATGATTCTCTTTTTAAAATATTTTTTTCTTGAATGAAAACTATAAAAAAAATTTTTTAAAAAAGATATTGGCATGAGATAGACTTCTGATATGGTTGATCTGAAAAATCTCCAGATCACTTAAACAAGTCCCTGCCTCCATCCTTCGATAGGTAGTATTAAGAAAGCACGAAATGTTATTATATGTTTTCCGATTACTTGGTAAAACAGCATGTTTGAAACCCCATATTCTTACATTATAAATGATAGTTTTCTTGTCTATCTTATCCACCTCCCCCCAGTTTCTTGCTCTCTAAACCTAGATATTTAATTTCCCTGAACAATATAACTAGTAATAGAAGAGAATAGACATAGCTCAGGGATGAACTGTGGAGTCCTTGGTGTTCTCTGAGCTTAGTTGTTTGCTTGTAGATGTTTGCATGATGCACTGAATGTGTTATCAATTCTGGTAATGAAATGTCTGCAAGCAAACAAACGAAGCTCGGAGAGTGTCAAGGACTCTACAATATCACTACTATCTGAAAGGTGGACAAATTGTTGGATGTTTGGCATTGACGTGCATTGTAACAGGAAGAAAATAAATATGGGAAAGACTGTTTTAAACAATAACTCATTGTAAGGCCTCCTATTTTTCTGGATATGTTTATTTTCATAGTTAATTCAACAGAAACTCATAGGAATCAAATATACCACCTTGCAAGATTAATTCCAGATTTAAAAAATTGTACCTTGCATGCAATAATGTCAGCAGGCTTGGGGTAAAACTGGGCATTGGATGAGCTGGTGACCTAATGGCTAAGAGGCGTCCATTTGGATCCGTACTGACAAAACAAAAATGATGCATATGGCACAAGAAAAGCTGTTAACCTATGCTAGTGAAAACTATGTCATAGGAAAATTGCAACTGTTTAAAAAGAGCCTTAATATATAAAGAAAAGAGGAGAAAAGGAAAAAAAGGAAAAAAAAATAAAAAACATACACAGAAAGTCACTCGGCCCTTTTTTAAAAATGCACCTCCATTCTTTCCCTCACACTAATAGACAGCTGGTTTTTCGATGAACGCATTATCGACCCAAGATTTTAATCCTGGTGACATGCTTTCTTAACAATATCAAAGAGACTTTTTGACTGCACTGTGTTCAGCAGTCTTTCATATGATAAATTTCCAAATCCCTGGTATATAACTCAAAAGTCGCTTCACATCTTTAAATAGCATTGATATTTTTGGGAGGCAATGCTATATGGATAAATTTATGGAAACTAACCCAAAATGGAGTAACAGCGGGTCACATCCATATCATACTAGTCAATGTCCCCTTATTCATTTCATGCAATAGGTTTCTTTCCCTCACAATACCAAACTGACCTTGGAGTAGAAGAATCACTGAAGAACAGTGGTCCCAACTAAAAACCTCCTAAACTGGTCCAGTAAGCTACCATGTTAAGCATATTGAAAGCTGCTGAGATATCAAGGAGGCCCAGAATAGAGCTCTCTCTGAGATCATCGGCCAGTGTTACCATACAGCTTGGTATTGTATTCAGACTTTAAGCTATTTTAAAAAGGACCCAGATAAATCACTTCCTCCAGGGCCTTTGGAGTAGTAAACCTTACTATCTTCTCAACAACGTTCCTTGGAAAGGAAAGAGTGCAGTCCAGACAAAATTATTCAGAACTTTTAAATCCAGTGATGGCCTCTTGAGGGGGAAAGAAACCCATGATTTCCTTCCAAGCATTTCCTCCCACAAAAAGACATCCATCTCTGCTGGATCAATGACATATTGCCTCCTGGAATGACTTAACCA